AAAGACATCCAAGGGTCTGTTCCAATTCACACAGGGGAAGACAGCCACCCAAATCCCAGGATAAAGATGACAAGCTGGGTACTGTGGCTCACACCCATATTCCAACACTTAGGGAGACTGAGGTGGGAGGATTGCTTGAGACCAGGAGTTTGAGACCAGATTGGGTAACATACCCTATCTCTATAAAACATTAAAAAAATTAGCCAGGCATGGCACTCAAGAGGTTGTGGTGGGAGGATCACCTGAACTCAGGAGTTGAAGGTTGCAATGAGCTATAATCATGCCACTAAACTCCAGCCTAAGTTCCTGTCTCTAATGAAAAATAAATACAAGTTAAAAAAATTTTTTTCCCCTATGTCTTACTTTCCACTGGGCTGTTGTTAGTTACATGGAGACTAAATAAGAAAATGACTAGCTCTACAGGGAAAGAGGAGAAAGATAGTACAGCCTACTCATCCACTCTGGGTACAGATGATATACTGGTGAGAAGGCAGCTCATAATAACAACATGGTTCTGGCTATCTGAAGAGTTAAAAGAAAGGGGTGGTGCCTGTGGCTCAAGGAATAGGGTGCTGGTCTCATATACCGGAGGTGGCGGGTTCAAACCCGGTCCCAGCCAAAAACTGCAAAAAAAAAAAGAGTTAAAAGAAAGGAGGCTATATGACAATTCCAGTGACCGTTTCCTGTCAAGAACAGGTACTGAACGCTCGGCACCTGTAGCTCAAGAGGCTAAGGCACCAGCCACATATACCTGAGCTGGCAGGTTCAAATCCAGCCTGGGCCTGCCAAACAATGACAACTACAACTAAAAAATAGCTGGGTGTTGTGGTGGGTGCCTGTAGTCCCAGCTACTTGGGAGGCCAAGGCAAGAGAATTGCTTAAGCCCAGGAGTTGGAGGTTGCTGTGATCTGTGAGGCCACGGCACTCTACCCAGGGTGACAGCTTGAGACTCTGTCTCAAAATTAAAAAAAAAAAAGTACTGAAGAACAAGCAAAAAAAGGTACCTACTGTCAGTGATTTGAGGCAACAGATACCAGATACTGCCAAGTATGTCTATAGTCTTATAGAGAAGGAGTAAACCTCCAGAATTATTAAAAATAAGAAACTTACTTTTTGGGGAGAGACAAAGTCTCACTATGTCACCCTTGGTAGAGTGCCTTGGCATCACAGCTCACAGCAACCTCAGACTCTGGGGCTTAAGAGATTCTCTTGCCTCAGCCACCCGAGTAGCTGGGACTACAGCCACTTGACGCATGCCTTTATTTTTGTAGTAGTTGTCGTTGTTTGGCAGGTCCGGGCCAGGCTCGAACCTGCCAGCCTGGGTGTATGTGGCCGGCGCCCTAACTACTGAGCTATGGGCACCAAGCCTAAACATAAGACTTGTATCAACTTGCCACAGTTTTACCTAGTACCTTCCCTCAGAAAAGAACTGAGTAGAAATTATTCTGAAATCTAAATCTCCTACAATGTCTCCTCTTACTCCTAATCCTATTTATTACATAACTCTTGTTTTGGTCTTTCTGGAGCTAGCCTTAAAACCATGATGCTTGTTTTAGTCAGATGATGAAAAAGGGCACACATTGCTTATGGCCTAGATAACATAAGTCCTAGAAACTCTAATTGACTTCCGCTTCCAAATCAATGACTGTATCTTCTAACTCTCACCTAATTTCAAAGTTATCTTCCCAGATCCTACTCCAGGGCAATGAGCTCTTTGGTCTTATATAAAAGAGTAACTTAAAACCCTTAACACCCACAGATCTTTAGTTTGTGAGAGCCTGTCCACCAATTCTCAGGCCTTTTTGACTTAGTTGCTGTTGGGAAATGGTCCCTTTGGAACAAAGCACCCTGATGTCTGGGCTAGGCATTCAATTTCTCAACAAGGTAAATGTGAGTTACCAAAATCAACCAAATTTACATGCACAGATAGAATATGGAAACAGAATGGTGAGAAAGACTATCTTGGGAACTATTAACAATTGGTCTGAATTGCTGGTCATAAATACAGTAAACTGAGAATGTGGAGTTACAGAAAAAGAAGCCACTAGAGGGAGAAAAGAGCCTTTTATTCTCTAATCTCAAGGTCCTGGAATAACAGGCCTAAAATTAAGTGTTTGAGTTCATTTTTTTGATGCAATTTATTTATCGTTCTCATATTTCTTTAACCCACTTCCCCATCCTAAGGGTAATTTTGCAATCTACAAGATTTCTCATTCTCTACTTGAATCCCCAACATGTGCATCACCAATTAAAAACCTCTTATTAAGGATGGGTGTGATAGCTCACACTTATAATCCCAGCACTTTTTGGGAGACCAAGGTGGCAGGACTGTTTGAGGCCAGGAGTTCGAGACCAGTCTGGGCAACATAGCAAGACAAAAAAAGCTGGCTGCAGTGACCCACAGTTCAAGATTACGGAGAGTGGTAATCATGCCACTGAATTCTAACCTGTGTTCCTTTCATTATGATCCTGGCTTAATACATATATCACAGGGAATTACTTCTTTTTTGAGACAGAGTCTCAAGCTGTCGCCCTGGGGGCAGAGTGCCATAGCATCATAGCTCACAGCAACCTGAAACTCAGGCTCAAGCGATTCTGTTGCCTCAGTTTTTCTTTTTTTTTTTTTTTCTTGAGACGGAGCCTCAAGCT